CCCCTCGGGTTGCTGCCTCGTTGCCGGGACACCGGTCGGAATCTGGAGGGGCTGCCCCTTCCGTGTGCTCACCCCGCAGATAACTACTCCGAGGAGGAGTACGAGAGCTTCTCCTCCGAGCAGGAGGCCAGCGACGACGCCGCGCAGGGCCAGGTAGCGCCTGGCGGGCCCCTCAGCTGCGCCAGCTGCGCCGAGGCCCCCAGCGGCCAGCCCGCGACCCTCCAGAGCTGCCGTCACCAGCGGTGGCACGGGGTGGGGGCTGGGAGCCGGGCCCCGAGGTGGTGCCCCGATTCCCGACAGGTCCTCCGGGAAACCGCCCTGTCAGCCCTTGGGGGGGGCCGCCCCACGATCCACCCGGGGAGGTGCTGTCCCGTGGGGCCGGCCTCAGGCGTGTGTCCCCCGCAGGACCTGGACGAGGACGACTTCGACGTGGGCAAGCCCCGGAAGCCGCGGTGCTCGGCCGTGCGGGCGGCGTCCATGACCAGGGTCGGTGGTCCAGCGTCGCCAGCACGGGGGAGGGTGGGCGTGGGGTGTCCGCCCTGGGCCTCGCCTAGCCGCCGCCTCTGCCCCTAGAGACAGCGGGAGGTGGGGCCGCGAGGCGCTTGGCCACTGTTAGCTAGAGCCAGGCGGGGCATCCCCGTTCCAACCCCAGGCCACTGCCACTGTCCCAGAGGTCAGCGGACCAAGCAAGGTGGCCGCCTTCCTGCCCAGGTCACTTTCAGAGCAGAGGTGGAGGCTGTCCCATCCCCACCATGCCAGACGTGCCCTGTGCAGAGCCGGCCTCGGTGTCTGTTCTGCCTCCAGCCCGCCAGGCATGGTGGCCCAGGGGCCTGGGTCGGGCTGTCAGGCTTCTCCAGGCGGAATGCCCCAGGCGGAAGCCTCAGCCCGTCACACGAGGCCTCCCTCTGGGCGCCAGAGCTCCTCGGACAGCTCACAGCTGCTCCCTGAGAGCTGGCCACTGCGCCAGACCAGGCCAGCATGCTGGGTGGGTGGCCAGGGAGGCCCTGGTGATGCTGGCCACGGGCACAGCCCAGAAACCACCACCCCCTCCCCCGGCAGCCCCGGACAGGGAGCGTCTGCCCCGCGAAGCAGCCCCCACGGCCCTGGCGGCTCCTGCCTGAGCCTCCGGGGAGCTGCTTTCGGAGGGCTCCCCGCTTCTGCCCACCCTACCGTGGCTCAGAAGCCAGTGGCCCAGGGCGGCACCGGCAGCAGACGCAGCTGGGCTCTTTACTGCGTCCCCACCACCCGTGACACCCCCACGTCCTGTGGGGGGGCGGTGACCCAGGAAGGTCGCGTTTACCCCAAGGCTTCTGGGAGAGCCGAGGAGCGGCCCCCGGCCTCTCTGGTCCCCTGGGCCAGGCCCTCGCGTGGGCTTCTGAGTCTGACCCCAGCCGCGGCTCAAAACACCCGTGAGGACGCTCGTGGTGGTTAAGCGTCCGAGGGCCCCGTCTGAGCCGCGCCTCCCGCCCCCCGCGAGAACTCGCAGCCCTCCCGCGGGGCGGCTGCCGTGTGACACTGGCCGTCCACTGTCCTGCAGCAACAGAACTTCAAGCAGAAAGTGGTGGCTCTGCTGCGCAGGTTTAAGGTGTCGGACGAGGTGAGTGAGCCGCCTGCCCCGTCCCCGTGCGCCCCTCCCCAACCCTGTCCCCG